CGCCCCTTTCAGTTCCATTTTTCCATGAAGTACCCTTGTACCTCACTTCTAGTTGCAAAAGTGTGTGAGGACTTCTCTACACACACACACACACACACACACACACACACACGAATTCTGCAGTGGACACCAGCTGGTCTCTCATAACTCAATTCTTATTCTACCCACCTGGAGAGAGCATCAGGTCCACTAGACTGCCCCCACATCAGATGCCAACCCAGGTCCCTGGCTGTGGCCTGTGCTTCCCACCAGCTAGCTGTAGTTTGGGGTGCCCATGACACTTCCCTGAGGTTCAGTGAATTTGCAAGAGCCGCCCCCAGCACTCAGGGGAACATTTCACTTACTCTTACCCGGTGACTTTATGAACAGTGCGAAGTGGGTGGATGAACAGCTGAATGGAGAGGACCACAGGGCCAGGAATGTGGGGAGGGGCGGAGCCTCTGTGGGCAGCACTTGACAGGAATCTCCACACGTTCAGCAGCCTGGAAGCTCTCCAACCCCACAGTTTGGGGGAGTTTTATGGAGATTTGATTATGTAGGCATGGTGGATCACCCCACTGGCCATTGATGGTCAACTCAGCCTTCAGCTCCCTGCCCTCCCTGGACTCAGGGGCTGGGCTGAGAGTGTCTATGCTCTAATCCCACAGTTGTTCCCCCTGGCAGCCAGCCCCAACCTAAGCTACCCAGGAGCCCCACCAAGACTCATCTCTCACCCGGGAAAGTCCAAGGGACTTAGGAGCTGTGTCAGGTGCTGCCATCACACAGGAAGTGACAAATGTCTTAGGGGTTCTGTGTCAGGGACAAGGGCCAGAGACCAAATATAGGCTTCTTATTATGTCACAGCATCACAGGGGCCCTTGTACCCTGACCTGGCCGTGGAATGGCAGGATGGGCCCTCTGTGGTCAGGCTTGGGGGTGGCCTGAGGACACCACACAGGTGGGGTGGGGGATGCAGCTGTGACCTCCACAGGTCAGCCTCCAAAGCTCACAGCCAGTGGGCATCTCAGGGGAGGCCTGGGGATCTGTGATCCCTGTGGTCAATCCATGTACCCCTGGTGCCTTGGCACAGGAGTTCCCAAACATCTGGCCTGAACCCCCTGGGTCTGAGCTATGAGGGACCACTCACTGGCACCAGATGAGGAAGCACACTTGCCCAGATGTCGTGTCCATGTTACCACAGCTCAGAAGTGTCCCCTTATCCTTAGCCACAGCTTCAGTTTCTCCAGATTCAGTTACCCATGGTCAACTGCAACCAAAAATATTACATGGAAAATTCCAGAAGCAATTCATATGTTTTTTTAAAGATTTTATTTACTTATGTATTTGAAAGGCAGAGTTACAGACAGGCAGAGGCAGAGAGAGAGAGAGATCTTCCATCCGCTGGTTCACTCCCCAAATGGCCACAACAGCCAGAGCTGTGCCGATCCAAAGGCATGAGCAGGTGCTTTTTCTAGGTCTCCCATGTGGGTGCAGGGGCCCAAGCTTTTGGGCAATCTAGCACTGCTTCCCCAGGCCATAGCAGAGAGCTGGATGGGAAGTGGAGGAGCCGAGACTTGAACTGGCGCCCATATGGGATGCTGACACTGCAGGCGGAGGCTTTACCCACTAAGCCACAGCGCCAGCCCCAACAATCCATATGTTTTAAATTGCTCACTGTCCTTAGCAGCATGAGGACATTGTGCTGCATCCCACCCAGGACATGAATTACCCTTGTCTAGAGTATCCACGACGTGCACTATCCACGTGTTAGTCACTTGTAGACTTCTCGGTTATCAGACTGTGGGATTTCAGCCTGTGTGCTAAAGCCACCCTTACTTCCTTAATAACAGCCCCAAAGCACAAGAGGAGCGATGCTAGCAATTCAGATATGCCAGAGAGAAACCACGTGTGCTTGCTTTAAGTGCAGAGTGAATTCCCAATTTATTATGGAAAAGAGTCATACTCCGAGGTTAGTAAGATCCACGGCATGAAGGAATCTTCTATGCATAAAGTTGTGAGTGAAAGAAATTGGCGCTAGCTTTGCTGTCATACCCCTAGCTGCAGAAGTGCGTGAGAAGTGCTTCCTTAAGGGGAAAAGCTATTACGTGTGTGGATGCGTGTGTGGGAAAACACGTGGGGTATACAGGGCTCAGCACTATCCTTGGGTTCAGGATCCCTGTGACTAAGGGCGCTGCTGTGCCACGAAATCTTGGGGAAAGAGCGAAGCTACAGGGTGCCCACAAGCTCCCGCTGTGAGAGGTGGAGGGCGGCCTCAAGCAGTGTGGGGGGGGCACCTGGGCATGTGTCAGTCATCAGGGAAGCAGTTCCTGGCCTGCCCCGTCCTCAGAGTGCGACAGGGAAGACTCTGGGTTTGCACCTGTCCTCCCGAGAGTGCTCCTAGCGACAGGCACCACCTTTGGGGAGACAGAAGTAATCACAGCAAGAACCAGGGCCGCAAAGGAGAGGAACCTGCCTCGGGTTTCTTTCCATTGACTTATTTATAACAGAAAGCACGGCGCCCACAGTGGCACTGCCCCCCTTGGAGGTGGCGTCCGGTTCCGTTCACGGCTGGCTCCTGTGCTGCGCGCACGCAGGGCCACCTCCCTGCAGCAAAGGCCTCCTTCCATGGCCTGAAACGCTGGAAGACTGAGCCTGTGTCCCCCGGGGCCGGGCTGGCCGGGCTGTGGCGTCCTCGCCAGGCACAGCTGCAGAGGGCGGATGCACAAGGAGAGGGCAGACACCGGCCACAGTCCTTGTTTGGGATCTGAGCTTGGAAAGGGCCGTGTGAGGTCACTGAGCGGGGGGCCCAGCACTGGCAGAGAGGAGAGGAGCAGAAAGGGGTCCCCCGAGAGGGGCTGGCGGCCAAAGACCCAGCGTTTACATTTGAAAATCTGTGCCAAGAACATCTGTCTGGGGATGGAATTCCTGGGCCTCCTAGGCTGGATCTTAACTGCACAGATGAGGAAAGAGATTGGAGACAGCGGGGTGAGTCCAGCCAGAGGCCGCCTCTGCCGCAAGGTAATGCAGAATATTCTATCCTATCCTGTTCTGTTCTGTTCTGTTCTATTCCATTCCATTCCATTCCATTCCATTCCATTCCATTCTATTCACATCCCCAGTGCATGCCAGGTGTACAGTCTCGCGCTCACAGCAGAAAGTGCTCCTTGAGATCCGCCAGGACAGGTGTGTCGGATGGGGGGAGGGTACCACAGCAGGTGTGGAGCTACCTGTGGTTTTGCCCCGATCTCCTAAGAGCCACTTCCTTTTCTCTGAGTTAGGATTCTAGAGTGAACACATTGGAACTCTTATGCTAGGAGCTGCCAAGGACACACAACACTCTGTCCCAAAAAGGGACAAGGCCCAGGGGTGTGGACTCAGCTAACTAACAGCTTGGATATCGGCGGCATCCAAAATTCTGCAGCACCCCCAGCCGCTGGAGCCAGCACAACCCCCTGCTGCTGGGCGCGGGAGAGGCCCCTCTGAGCTAGGGGCTGAAATGAGGGTCGTGGGGACTCCTATCAGAACAGAAAGGAGTCCACACCTGCTGCAGCCCTTCCCCTAACTGAGGTGGGTGGGACTCCGCAGGGTTTCTCGGGGTAAAAGCCAGGGGTCCCGTGAAGCCTTTGAAGACAGCAAAATCAGGTCTGTAGCTTCCTCGGTGCAGGCACCACTCCTGGGAGCCCACAGCCCCTGCCCCTGCCCCAGGCCGGCCTGAAGGATTCTTGTGTAGAGGCTGCTCCACTCCTGGTCACCCCAGCACATCGGGCACTGGAGACAGAGGACAGCAGGCCAGCGTCTTGTGGTCCTGCTGAACTCGTCCTCCTTTTGACGCGAGGTGGCCGGAGCCCATCTCCCTTCAACCCGGCTCGCACGGCCCAGTTTTCCCACCATCTGGATTCGGTGAGAAGGCCCAGGGCTGGCCCGGGGCCGGCCGAGCCAGGGCAGCGGCTGAGTCAACAGGATCAGGCACCGGAGCGAAAATTCCTTTTTTGGAAGCCAGGCAGCCACTTCTCAGGCCGGCGGCGGCGGAGTCCCCGGGAAGTGACGCAAGGCCGGGGCAGGAGAGGCAGGAGCGAGTGCCTTGCTCCAGGATGGTGCCTGGCAGCCTGGCTCAGGGGCTCGGACCTGCAACAGGGAAGGCGGCAGCCTTCTTCCGGGCCGGGCCGGGCCACTCGCTGTTCCTCTCTCCTGCCGCTGAGTGACTTCAGACAGCCGGGGTGGGGAGGAGTGGGGGTGGAGGGTGCTGTTGCGAGCCCCTTAGACAGGAAAGGAGGCGCTGGTGGGGCTGGTGGGGGCTGCAGGGGAGCAACGGAGAGCCCAGGAGGGGCCTCTGGGAAGGGCGGGAAGTCGGCCCCCTGGGAAGTTCTGGCGGCAGCACAGGAGTGGGGGAGGGGATTCTTTCTTCTCCCCCAGCTGCAGGAGGGCGCGGGGGAGGGGTGTCTTTGTACCTTGCTGAAGCTGGCAGTTAGGAAAAGGAAAAGGCTTTTGAGCTACATTTCCTGATAGGAAAAGCCTAAATCTTAAGAGGGAAAATAGTATTTGAGAGGCAGAGAGAGACACAGAGAGAACTCTCACCACCTGGTTCTCTCCCCAGATGCTCACAGTGACGGAGGGTTCAAAGCCAGGGGCCAGGAACTCAATCCAGGTCTCCCCCGTGGGTGGCAGGGGGTGACTTGAGCCACCGTCACTGCTGCCTCCCAAGAGCTGCACTAGCGGGAAGCCAGAGTCAGGAGCCTGAGCCGGGACTTGAACCCAAGCACTGCAGTGTGGGGCGTGGGCATCCTAACTGCTAGGCCGGATGCCCAGCCCACGAATCCTAACGGGATTAGCTTTGCCTCTCAGCATCTGTCCCTTATTCTAGGGCCAGTCTCCCCAAATCCCTGGGATTGGTCCCAGTTGAGTCTGCCTCCAGGCTACTGCGATTTCAGGACCGGGTATGGCCCGGGCGACACAGCCCCTGCCCCTGTTTGCCATTTTAGGAGGTGGCAGAGATGCTGGGAGTATTATACACAGTCCAGTGATTCAGGGCACGGGTTTATTGTAGCAGGTGAGGAACCCAACAGCTCCTCCTGGATGTACCTGCCATTTGGTCCCTCGCCATGGCCCCCAGAGCCCCCCCCTCCCGCCATGTCCCTTCCCCATCCAGGGCCACCCGCCTCACAGGCTGCATCTCACACCATCACACCCCCTTCCTTCACCCAGCCCCCGCACCCCACCCCCACCCCGGGCAGCAGTGACCAGCAGCCAGCCGCGGAGGTAAACAACACGAGAGCACTTCAAGACCCATTTGAAAAGGGAGCATCTGGACCCAGAGGCGCGCACCCCTAGCCACACGTGAACCGGCCCCTGGAGTGCGACTTGAGAGAAGGCTGCTCCTCCGTGTCACCCAGCATGCCGAGCATGTAGGAGCCCATGTAGATGAGGAGCTGGCCGGTCACCTGGGCGGTGTAGGACAGGAATCGCAGCAGGCTCCTGCGACAGGCAAGACAGGGACGCGTCAGGCTGCGGGGAAGCACACGGGGTGGGCCTGCTGCACCCCAGCTGGCCTAACGCAGGCTCCGAGGTGGCAACGCGCACACAGGAGAGCGTGGTGATCTGAGAGGTGCTGCTCTGGGGACACACAAGTCCCCAGGGGCTGGGCAAGAGGCGATGCTGATGTGACCTGTCTGGGTGCAGGCTGGACTCCATGCATTCCCAGGTGAGCCACCTCGGCGCAGTGTGGCTCCCGCCAGCCACTTCCAAACGTGCCTGCTCTTGCAGGAACCAGGGTGCTCTGCTGGGGCAGACACGAGCGTGTGCCTTGTGCTGTCCCTCAGCTACCTGCCTCTCCAGCAGCAGCCCTGGTGGGCATAAGGTGCTATTGCATGGAAATCAATCAGCACTGGGGAGGGCGTTTGGCTCCGCGGTTAAGACACCTGCATCCTGTATCTGAGTGCCTGAGTTTGAGGCTCTATTCCACTTCATATCTGGCTTCCTACTAATGCACACCTTGGGAGACAGCAGGTGGTGCTTCAAGTGTTTGGGTCCCTACCACCCATGTGGAAGACCCAGATGGAGTTCCTGGCTCCTGGCTTCAGTCTGATCCAGCGTTGGCTGTTGCTGGCATTTGGGAGTGAACCAGTGAATGGAAGACCTCTCTCTCTCTCTCTGATATTCATCTTTCAGATAAATTAAAAAAAAAAAAAAGGAAATCTATCAGGCCAGGCTGGGGGAAAAGTCACAGCAAGACCCAGCTGAGGGGCTGGTTCTTTGGCGTAGTGGGTAAAGCCACCGCCTGCAGGGCTGGCATCCCATATGGGTGACAGTTCGAGTCTTGGCTGCTCCACTTCTGAGCCAGCTCTCCGCTATGGCCTGGAAAAGCAGTAGAAAATGGCCCAAGTCCTTGGGTCCCTACACCCATGTGGGAGACCTGGAAAAAGCTCCTGGCTCCTGGCTTCAGACTGGTGCAGCTCTGGCCTTTGTGGCCAACTGGGGAGTGAACCAGCAGATGGAAGACCTCTCTTTCTCTCTCTTTGCCTCTCCTCTCGGAGTAACTCTGAACTTTCAAATAAATAAATATATATTTTTAAAAGACCCAATTGACATAGGGTTAGGGATATCCCATCTTGCTCCCCAAGTTACAGGGAGGGGAAGCCTCACCCATCCTGACCTCTAAATCTTTTTGTTTTTTTTCCTTTGGACAGGCAGAGTGGACAGTGAGAGAGAGAGAGACAGAGAGAAAGGTCTTCCTTTGCCTTGGTTCACCCTCCAATGGCTGCCGCAGCCGGCGCACTGCGGCCAGCACGCAGGCGCTGATCCGGTGGCAGGAGCCAGGAGCCAGGTGCTTTTCTTGGTCTCCCGTGGGGTGCAGGGCCCAAGCACTTGGGCCATCCTCCACTGCCTTCCCGGGCCACAGCAGAGAGCTGGCCTGGAAGAGGGGCAACCGGGACAGAATCTGGCACCCCGACCGGAACTAGAACCTGGTGTGCCGGCGCCGCTAGGCGGAGGATTAGCCTAGTGAGCCGCGGCGCCGGCCTGACCTCTAAGTCTTACGGCTGAGTCTGATGTCAGTGTTATTTCAGACTGAAAAAAAAAAAAAAACTGCAACTCTCACTCACGTTCTTGTTTTCTATCTGGTCTGACGCTGAAGGATTTCACTCCAGTTTTATTAAAGTGCATCACATTCATAATGTGTAGCGGGACATGAAGCAGCTGAGGCTGCCTCCTGGGATGTGACCCCCAAATCCAGGGGTCAGCTCTGTGGTCTGCAGAGGCCACTGCCTTTGGGAGGCCAGAGCAGGCCCTGGGAGGTGAGGCCTCTGGCCTGGGGGCTGCTTGTGGTGTTGCCAAAGTGGGCAGGAGGAAAGAATTAGTAACAAGAAGACTGAACTTGTCTTTCAAGAAAGGTTTTCTCCATTTTGCTTTCCTTTTTTAGCATTTTTAAAAGATTTATTTATTTGAAAGGCAGAGTGACAGAGAGGGAGTGATAGAGAGAGAGGGAGGGAGAGAGATCTTCTATCTGCTGGTTCACTCCCCAGGTGAAGTCAGAAACTCTCTCTGGGTCTCCCACATAGGTGACAGGGGCCCAGGTACATGGGCGCATTAGCAGGGACCAGGACTTGAACATGCTGGTGCTCCAGTACAGGATGCTGGCACCACAAGCATCAGCTTAACCCGCTGTGCCACCATGCCTGCCCCCAGGATTCCTTGCTAAGTTGCAATTAAGCTGTGACTGCTGTGTTGTTCTAAGCTGAGCCTCCTGCCTTACTTTACACATGGAACAACAGACCTGTTGTCTCCCAACTCAACACAAACAAAGCAACTTTCCTGGGAGGACAGATTTTAACATTACGACAGTGGCCCAGGTCAGGACTCAGCTAGAGGGCTGGGAACCTGGGGGAGAAAGGCAGGCCTGCCCCCAAGCACATCCCCTTCTGAGGTTGCGGGGACACATCAGAGCTGCGCTTATGGGGCCAGCAGAGAGAAGGAACAAGCAGCCCCAGCAGGCAGGCCCAGCCCTGGGGAGAGGGAAAGGGCAACACATGACTGTCCCTAGGACCTCCCACCCCATCACCCTCTCTCCCTCCCTCCACAGAGAATTGACTCATTAAAGGCCCCTGTGAATTTACCAGAAGAGTACGAGCAGGTGTACTGAGAGCTGAGCCAATTGTAACAGACTGGGAAGTAGCCTTTTCATTTTAAAGGTGATGGAGCAGCAGACTCATAGAATGACAATCATTTTAAGTAACACTCTGACCTCAGAATCAGTCCTTAAGGCATCTGAATGTGGCTGGAAAGCCCATGAGAGCAATGCAGGCATGGAAAGCCAAGACACTGTGGCAAAAAAAAAAAATCCTGTATGAAGGATCTATGTGGGTGAGACCCCAGTGGAAAAAAGAGGTCATCAAAGAAGAATGTACTTTTCTCTGAAGGGAGAACTTCCACTTTGCTTATGGCCTTGCCTAAATACTGAGAGTTTAGGGTCACAAAAGGCTTTCATAGCCTTGGCAGCTCATGGCAAGAGCCTCGGGTGATCACTGACGTCATAAATAAGAGTGTTAATTGTTAAATTAACAAGTTGCAGTCGGCGCCGTGGCTCACTAGGGTAATCCTCCACCTAGCGGCGCTGGCACACCGGGTTCTAGTCCCGGTCGGGGCGCCAGATTCTGTCCCAGTTGCCCCTCTTCCAGGCCAGCTCTCTGCTGTGGCCCGGGAAGGCAGTGGAGGATGGCCCAAGTGCTTGGGCCCTGCACCCCATGGGAGACCAGGAGAAGCACCTGACTCCTGCCTTCGGATCAGCGCAGTGCACCGGCTGCAGTGCGCCAGCTGTGGCGGCCATTGGAGGGTGAACCAATGGCAAAAAGGAAGACCTTTCTCTCTGTCTCTCTCTCACTATCCACTCTGCCTGTCAAAAAAAAAAAATTAACAAGTTGCTATGCACTTACTCCCCATTTAGGACCTCTGTCCTTAATGAGTTGTACTGTGAGAACTAACTGCAAAACTTGTTCTCAAACAGTATTTATACATTGTGTGTTTGTGCGTGTGGGTGCAAACTGTTGAAATCTCTTCTTAATACGGAGTTGGTCTTCTGTATATAAAGTTAAATTAAAAATGAATCTTAATGAAGAATGGAATTGGAGAGGGAGCAGGAGGTGGGACAGGAGTCAGGGTGGGAGGGTGGATATGGGGGGAAGAACCACTATTTTCCTAAACTTGTACCTATGAAATTTGCATTCATTAGATCAAAGCTTTAAAAAAATAAAATGAGGGAGCAGAAGCTCAGAGAAGTTGAGCAGCCTGTGAAAGGTCACCCAGCCAGTGTCCCTCTCAGTCCAGGGCTCGGTGGCTGTGGTCCCAGCCTGGGTACAGCAGGAACATCCCAGGAGGGTTCCTCTTGTACAGAAGTTGTTCAAGCAGACCGAAGTGGGATGGGGAGTGTGCCTGCTGCAAGTTGTCTCTCCCTGTAAGGTCGAGCAACCGCTGGCCCCAGGCGTCGCAGGAGCATGCCTGGGCCCCACTGCAGTTGCAGTAATAAGAGGGTGAAAGGCATCTGTGGAATTTTGGGAGCCATCTTGCTACGAGGCAGGCCAGAGTGCCCGGGACTTTGGTTTTAACGCCACTGCTTAGAATGAAGGGGAGGAGCCACCCATGCCTGCCCCGCGCCCACGTGCAGTTTCCCATCCCCCGGGGGCTTGGTACCTCAGCATGGCCTTGAGCCCTGTGCAGTGGATGTCGTAGGACACGGAGTACATCTCGTACATGGTGGCCTTTATGTTCAGGCAGCCCATAAAGTCCTTGGGGCTGAGCTTGTACAGGTCGAAGGTGACTCTGGCGATTCCCGATCTCTTGGGCTGCTGACAAGCTGGAAGGTACTTGCCCTGCAACGGGCGACAGCAGGAACGCACTTTAGGAACCTGCCTACCTCCTAGCTGTGACCAGAGCTTCCTAATGCCACACTCTGCTGCTTTCGGCCTCTCCTAGACATAAGCACAAAGTCCAAGCTGCTCACGGAGCAGCATTCGTCTAGCAGTGCAGTGTGCTTCTGCTGCACGCTCGTCCAAACACAACGGTCACCAGCCCTTGTGGGCTTCCTGCCTGTGATGCAGGAGGGGCCTGGGTTGGTGACAGGTGGCCATCCTGCTGGATGGCAGGAGACGCACACCGGTACTAGAGGCCGCCACAGGTGACAGCCACAGCTGTACCGAAGCAGGCAGCTCGGCTTTGGTTTTACACGTGGCTGCTGGGTGCAAAGTGCCAAGTGCTAAGGTAAGGGCTGCAAGAGGCACCTTCCCTGGGGCGGGGGGGGGGATTCCCCACGGGTGCCCAAGAGGAGAGCCGCTTGTTTACAGGATCCACCGCATCAGGTAAGGAGGAGGAAGTCAGGGGCGCCCTGCCTCCCCAGGTCTGCCACCACCCTGGTAGCAGCATCTTCCTCACAAAGAACGTGAAATAAGAGGACAAAGCCGTTCCCAGGTGCATGTGGTGTGTGTATTCAAGATTCAAGTTCTGGGGCCGGCGCTGTGGCATAGTGGGTAAAGCTGCCACCTGCAGTGTTAGCATCCCATATGGACATCGGTTCTAGTCCTGGCTGCTCCACTTCGGATCCAGCTCTCTGCTATGGTCTGGGAAAGCGGTAAAAGATGGCTCAGGTCCTTGGGTCCCTGCACCTCCGTGGGAGACCCAGAAGAAGCTCCTGGCTTCAGATTGCTCCACTCTGGCCATTGCAGCCCTCTGGGTAGTGAACCTGTGGATGGAAGACACCCCGGCCTCTCAAATAAATAAATAAATAAATCTGTCTATTAAGATTCAAGTTCAGACACCCAATAGGGCCCCTGCATCTCATGACCCTTTGGGGCCAGGAGTAGCTGGGGCCATGAAGGTTACGTTCATCCATAACCGCAATCACACATAGCAGAAGTTGGAGCACACGTGCCCTAAGAGAGCCCAAGCCATTCTTTCTCCCAGCCATGCCTCCTTCCCTGTTCCTGCCCCACAGAAGGAAAGGCCCGGGGATCCTGGGGGTCGCCCGTGTTGGATGCACAAGCGGGCGGTGGCCTCGTTAGGGGGCTGACGCTCCATCACCCTGCACGCCTGTGAACACTTCAGCGCACACCTGCTTCTGCCACAGTTCTTTCATTGCCTCGCTTTCCCTTCGGCTTCTGGAAGCTTCGCTCTGATTGTCCCGGGACATCTTCCTCTTAAACGCGACGCGTGTGTGGCCTAACGCTGTGCCTGGGCACGGCCGCCGTCCACTCGCGGCCACGGAGAGGGAAGTGAACCCCAAGGGTCTTCTGCCCATCGTGCGCCAGCGAGCGTTCCGGGCGCTGTGGCTGAAGAGGGGCGCCATCTGGTGGCGGCTCCCTAGCAAGTCACCCTTGGCTTCCCCGACAGGGGCCGCTACCAGCCCGTGGGATGGAGGCTGAAAAAGGTCTGCCCAGACGCGCGGGGCAGACGCCCGACTGGGCCCCCAGCGTGCCCTTGACCTTTCTGTGTCACGGCCTCACTCCTACCAATGGCGCCTCATCGGTCTCCTGGCTGACTTCCTCAGGGGCCACCTGCTCTGGAGAGCACCCACGTAGGATCCCCACATCCCCTCCTCCTCTACTTCCTCCCCACAGGAATGTATGAACATTTTCGGGGCTGTCATCCTAGCGGCCACCTGTAGCTCACGCAAAAAGCAGTGTGGCCCAAGGTTGTCTTTCAGAAGACAACCTAGTTCACCCCACGAGCTTCTCACCTGCAGCCACGACCCCACCTGCTTCATAGAAAAGAACTTATTCTATATTTTATGCTTTTTGTAATCGGTCAACCATTTTTTTCGGAGAAATTATGAAATATTTGATATAGACAAGGGATCTTCAAAAAGTTCATGGGAAGTACATGTTATTAAAAAAACTGCAAAAATTTCAATTGACAAAAAAACTACGCATGGATTTCAAAACGTTTGTACCAAAACAAACCTACTTAAAAGCTTTTTTGGGGGAGGGGCTGGTGTTGTGGCATAGCAGGTAGAGCTGCCACCTGCTATGCCAGCATCCTGTATGGGCACTGGTTTGTATCCCAGCTGATCCACTTCTTTACTTCTTTTTTTTCTTTTTTAAAAGGTTTACTTATTTATTTGAAAGTCAGAGTTACACAGAGAAAGAAGGAGAGACACAGAGAGAGAGGCCTGCCATCCGATGGTTCACTCCCCAGATGGCCACAACAGCCGGAACTGCACTGATCCGAAACCAGGAGCCAGGAGCCTACTTCAGGTCTCCCACGCAGATGCAGAGGCCCAAGGACTTGGGCCATCTTCCATTGCCTTCCCAGGCCATAGCAGAGAGCTGGATTGGAAATGGAGCATCCAGGACTCAAACTGGTGCCCATTGGGATGCTGGCACTGCAGGCAGCAGCTTTACCTACTACAGGACAGCCTCCCCAGCTGCTCCACTTCTGATCCAGTGCTCTGCTATGGCCTGGCAAAGCAGTGGAAGATGGTCCAAGTGCCTGGGCCTCTGCACCCACGTGGGAGACCTGGAAGACGCTCCTGGCTTTGGTCTGTCCCAGCACTGGCTATTGTGGCCATCTGGGGAGTGAACCAGTGGATGGAAGATCTCTCTTTGTTTCTCTCTCTCTCTCTCTCTTTTTCAAATAAATAAACATACCTTTTAATTTGAGAGACAGACACACACACACACACACACACACACACAATGAGAGAGCGAGCAATGCCTCCATCCTTTGGCTCACTCCCCAAATCCCAAATGCCTGCCAAAGCTAGGGCTGGGCTGGGCCATAACTGGAAGATGGGAACACGATCCCAGATCTCCAAGTTATTCGGGGCCCCAATCACTTGAGCCATCATCTGCTGCCTCCAGGATCTGTATTAGCAGGAAGCTGGAGTTGGGAGCCAGACCTGGGACTCTGGGTACTCCAATATGGGACACGGGTGTCTTAACCACTAGGCTGAATGTCTACTTCTTTTCTTTTTAAGATTTTATTTGAGAGGTAGAATTACAGACAATGAGAGGGAGAGACAGAGAGAAAGGTCTTCCCTCCGTTGATTCACTCCCCAAATGGCCGCAACAGCCAGGAGCCAGGTGCTTCTTCCCGGCCTCCCACGCAGATGCAGGGACCCAAGGACTCAGGCCATGGCAGAGAGCTGGATCAGAAGTGGAGCATCCGGGACTAGAACCAGTGCCCATAGTGGATGCCAGCCCTGCAGGCAGAGGATTAACCCACTGCGCCACAGCACTGGCCCCTGAACGTCTACTTCTAAACTTTTAATTCCATTTTCCCATGACCATTTTGAAGCAGCCTCATATATATGAGTAATACAAGCTTACAGAAGCAAGGATAAGACATCAAACCATCATCCACCTCTCCACACCCCACGTTCCTCTCTCAGGGGAAGCAGTCTAGCATCACTCCCGTGTTTTTATTTTCAGCGTATGTGTATCTCAAACACTGGGTTGACAATTTTGCATGCTTGTGATGATGTAAAAATGATTTTAACACGAAAGGTTGCAAAAAGTGTAGTCTAGAGACACACAGGGGGTCCTGAGACCCTTTTAGGGGAATGAAGGGGCAATGCTTTTTTCATAATAATCACTAAAATGCAATTCGCTCTTCCTGTTCTCAGTTTCCCACCGCAGCTGGGAGGCCTGCATAACCCAGTGAATCTGTATTTGCTAAGTGATCAGTGCCTGGTGTCACACAGTCATCTCTGGAAAACGCAGACAGGACACTGGCACCCCTCCGGGCTCCCCCCGGCAACCTGCCCCTCGGAGGCCAGTGCTCCGTGAGTTCCGGTGCAGCACCCAAGAGAAACGTCCTGTTATCTGCAAAGACCCTTCCGACCCTCCTGCCCTTCCACCTCTGCATCTGCGCGAGGACAGGTCTCCCTGTGCCTCTCTCCAGAGGACGTGCGACAGCAGGTGAGACAGGGGAGCCGAGGTGAGAGCGTGGCTGCCTTCTGTTACGCTGGGCTTTGAAGAGATGTGCAGAAGATGTAAAAAAGGTCACTCCTCACGCAACTTTTGTTGCTTTGGAAAACAGGCATTCTTTGTAAAATATGAGACTGGTGTGTATTCAGCTATTATTTTAATGAAATAATATTTGTGTTTAATTTCTTGGCTTTAATCTCTTTTCAAAATTATTGATTTATGTGAAAGGCTGAGACACACACACACATGCATGCGTGCACACACACACACAGAAAGACAGAGAGATCTTCCCTCCGCTGGCTCTCTCCCCACATGCCCACAATCGCTGGGTTGGGTCAGGCTGAGGCCAGGATCCAGGAACTCAGTCCAGCTCTCGCATGTGGGCAGTGCCTGTGAGGGCACCTGAGGCCTCACCTACTGCCTCCCAGGATGTGTATCAGCAGGAAACAGGAATTGGGAGCAGAGCAATGACTCAAACCAAGACGCTCCCCTGTGGGATGCAGGTATCCCAAGGCATGTCTTAACCACTGTTCCAAATGTCTGCCTCAATTTTGATTTCTAATATTAGAAATTAGATGCTTACAGCTTCTCAAACTTGGCACTATTGGCCTTTAGGGTTAGGCACATCTTCGTGGTAGGGGCTGCCCTATGCACTGTAAGATCTGCTCTGCATCCACTAGATGTCAGTAGCGCCTCCACCCTACCCCAGGTGTAATACCTCAAACCACCTGCAGAGGTCACCAAATATCCCTCAAGGGGCAAAGGCTTAAGTAACCCATACGAACAAGTCTGAGGGCCTGGCCTGTGAAGTTCTCAATCCACCTGACAAGAATCATACAAGCTTCGAGAGCACTCCCCCCAAAGAACACGTAAGTTTGTTTACAAGGGAGCTTCAAAAGGTCATGGAAAATGCATACATGAAAAACCTAGGCACGGGCTTCAAAACTTTTTTGCACCAAAATAAGCACCTTTTAATAGCATTTTCCATGAACTTTTCCAGTTGAGCATGTGGCTAACTTCCACTCTCGCTGTTGCCCACACTATGGCCGTGGACGCCCTTTTAGCCACCTCCTGACGCGCAGGGGCCGTTGTCAGCCAGGGTGTCTGTGAGAGGAAGGGAGGCCGTTGGTGCAGAGCTGTGGGCAGAAGAAGAAAGTTTGCTGCCCTGTATTTTAAACAATTAAAAGTCGAACACTCCCAAGTGTAACGGTGTGGAATGCTGTCTTACGGCAGCTTTGACTTCAGTTTTCCTGATCACCAGTTTGCCTCCCTGTCCATTCTGCAGGTGCTGGTCCTCATCTTCTCCCATTTTAAAATTTGGATGGTTTCTTATTTCCATAGTTGATTGATATGAGTTCTTTTGGAAAATTTTTATCTGTTAGGGGCCAGCGTTGCGGCGTAGCAGGTAAAGCTGTTGCCTGCAGTGCTGGCATCCCATATAGGTGCTGGTTTCAGTCCCAGCTGCTCCACTTCTGATCCAGCTCCCTGCTCCTGTGCCTGGGAAAGCAGTGGAAGATGGCTCGGGTGCTTGGGCCCCTGCCATCCACATGGGAGACCCAGAGCAGGCTCCTGGCTCCTGGCTTTGGTCTGGTCCCGGCTTGGCTGTTGTGGCCATTTAGGGAGTGAACCAGCAGGTGGAAAACCTCTCTCTGTCTCTCTCTCTCTGTCTGTCTCTCTGTCTCTGTCTCTCTCTCTCTCTCTCTCTCTCTCTATATATATATATATATATGTCTCCCTCTCTGTCCACAACACTGCCTTTCAAATAAATAAATATATATTTAAAAACTAATAATAAGGGCCAGTGTTGTGGTGTAGCAGAGTGGCCGGTAACTCCAGCCAGCATTTCTATATGCAAGAGGCCTTCATTCTACCTCTCTGCTTTCCAAGGTCCCAGTATTCTCTCTCTCACACACACACAAGTTCATGACCTCCCACCTGCATCAGCTGTGTCAGTCTTGTGTGGCTGCCTGAGGCTGAGACAGTGATGTGTCACCAGGTCACACCTGGATGCTTTAAAACAGGACCTGTGGCTACTCCCTGGCCAAAGCCTATTCCTCGGAATTCTTTGCTTAAATCATATAACCCAAGTCCATTGAGACACTGTCTCCTGGAAGTGCTGACACGAAGCCCTCTGAGGTTAGTGGATGCAAGCGCCAAGTGTATATACAGAAAGCGGGCAGAGGGAGGGTGCTTCTATGGCGGGGGGGGGGGGGGGGGGGGGGTGGAGTCTATGCAGCAGCTGCTGGTGACAGGCCTGCTCTTACCGGTGTCCACTTCTGTCCCTTTTCCAAGATCATGAAGTGCGTGTTGTCCCCTAGGGTCTGGAAGAACTCTTCTGTGTCCACCACGGTACCGTCCTCCTCCAGCACCAGCGTGACCAGTCCAGTGGTGATGACCAGAGCTTCCAGAGTCTAGACGCGCAACGCCACAGAGAAACAGGGTGAAGCGAGACGTGCCCATTGGGCCACCCAGTGACATTTCAGTTCTAACTTTCAGAAGCACTGGATGACTTGGACAAAATTTATTTTAAAAAAAAGTATGAGAGAGAGAGAGAGAGACAAAGGGAGAGAGCTGCCACCCACTGGTTCACTCCCCAAATCCTTGCAATGGCTGGGACTGGGTCAAGCTGAAACCAGAAGCCAGAAACTGATTCCACATCTCCCACCTGGGTGGCAGGAACCCAACCAGTGAGCCACTGCCTCCCAGGGTCCTCGTCATCAGGAACTGGAATTGGGAGTTGGAGCTGGGTACTAAACCCAGATGCTCTGAGATAATGGTATCTTTTTTTTTTAAAAGATTTTATTTATTTCTTAGAGAGGTAGAGTTATAGGCAGAGAGAGGGGGAGACAGAGAGATCCTCCATCCACCAGTTCACTTTCCAAATAGCCACAACAGCCAGAGCTGGGCCGATCTGAAACCAGAAGCCAGGAGTTTCTTCTGGGTCTCCCACACGGTTGCAGGGGCCCAGGCACTTGGAGCATCTTCTACTAGGTCAACAGCAGAGAGCTGGATGGGAAGAGGAGCAGCCAGGACTAGAACCGGTGCGCATACGGGACGCTGGTGCCGCAGGTGAAGGCTTAGCCCACTATGCCACAGCGCCAGCCTCCAATAACGGTATCTTACCTGGTGTCCTGCTAGGCCAGATGCCCACCCTGGAGAGACTTTTAGTGGTAAAGATAAACCTTGACACATGTCTATGGCAGTCTTTGCTCCAAAAAGAGATTATTTTTAAAAGACTTATTTATTTATTTATTTGACAGAGTGACAGAAAGGGAGACAGAAGTTAAGATTTTTTTAATGGGGGGGGGGGAGGCGCTGTGGCATAGTGAGTTAAGCCTTTACATGCGACACTGGCATCCCATATGGGCGCTGGTTTGAGTCCCAGCTGCTCCACTTCTGATCCAGCTCCCTGCTGATGGCCTGGGGAGAGCAGTGGGATATGCCCCAAGTGCTTGGGCCCCTGCCTCTCCGGGGGCGTCTCTGCGTCTCCGACTCTTCCTTATTAGCTGGTCTAGGGCACTATTTTAGATCAAGGACTATTCCAGCCCGGCCTCTGGAACCAGAGGCAGGCGTCCCGAGTGGCTGCTGCCCTGCGTTCTCCCTGTCAGAGTCAGCAAGCGCCATCACCAGTGGGGGACTGCTTGGGAGGTTTTGTCTGTCCCTTGGTCTCTCGTGGGATGGAGCTGCAGCCACGGTTCCCCGAATTCTTAACTCCCACCCTTCACCCACATAAAAATGCCTCCCAGATGACCCCTGGCGGCCAAGAGAGGCGGTGCGGAGTCGGACGCGCCGATCTCTCAACCCCTCTGGCTTTGTGCTGGCTCAGGGAGTGGTGGGCGCGCCGCGGGGGCTGGGGGTACCTTGTTGATGAGTTCTTTCAGGGTGCTGGCCATCACCCCGCGCCGGCTGCTGCGGTCATGGTTGGAGACCCGGAAGGGGCGAGCTGACTGCATGAGGGGCGTGAGGAGCACTTGCTTTGTCTTCGAGCCCATGAATGTCAGGGGCCTAAAGATGGAGGCAAAAGAAGCATCTTGACATCATTGTTTTTTTTAAAATTATTTTATTTATTTGACAGGCGGACTAATAGAGAGAGAGAGAGAGAGAGAGAGAGAGAGAGAGAATCTATCCCCTGGTTCATTCCCCAGATGGCTGCAATGGCCCCAGGCTGGGCAAGGCTGAAGCCAGCAGCCAGTAACTCCACCCGGGTTTCCCACGTGGGTGCAGGGACCCAAGGCCTCGGCCATCTTCTACTGCTTTCCCAGGCCATAGCAAAGAGCTGGATTGGAAGTGGAGCAGCGGGACTTGAACCGCCGTCCATATGGGATGCCGGCACTATAAGTGGTGGCTTTACCCGCTATGCCACAGCGCTGGCCCCGTGGATGGGTTTTAGAGCTAAAAAAAATTCCAAGAAAATTATTTCTAGCACTTATGTAGTGTTAGCATTAGGGAGTCAAGTAATACACAAATGTCCAAACATGTACATATATGTACATGAAGCCAGAGATTAATAGAAAAGTCAGATATTGGTCACTACAGCAACCAATGAGTTTTTGAGATCAAGTTAGGATAAGCCAAGAACAACAGAACCACTGTCCTAACTCTGCCCTGGAATTCCAAGAAGGGAAAGAACGTTAGGCACATGGCACTTTGGAGCAAGCGCCACAACTTTCCGAGAATCAACACTGTGTGCTTGGCACTGAGCTACGCTAAGGCTTTTTTTTTTTTTTTTTTTTTCTGGACAGGCAGAGTTAGTGAGAGAGAGAGAGAGGTCTTCCTTTTTCCATTGGTTCACCCCTCAATGGCCGCTGTGGCTGGCGCGCTGCTCCGATCCGAAGCCAGGAGCCAGGTGCTTCCTCCTGGTCTCCCATGCAGGTGCAGGGCCCAAGGACCTGGGCCATCCTCCACTGCACTCCCTGGCCACAGCAGAGAGCTGGACTGGAATAGGAGCAACTGGGACAGAATCCGGCGCCCCAATCGGGACTAGAACCCAGGGTGCTGGTGCTGCAGGTGGAGGATTAGCTTAGTGAGCCGTGGCGCCGGCCTAGAGCACTAAGGCTGTTAATGTATCATCTGTGCCAGATTATTCTTTTCACTTAAATAAGTAGGTTAATCATATTACTGAATATAATCACTTATGTCTGTTAGAAAGGTAAGTCCATCAAAAATCTTAACTTTCCTTTTTTTTTCTGAGTAAAAACTGAGTCACAGATGCTAATCGAGGTAGATCTTTATCATTAAAAAACTTCAGCAATTCACAAATTCCCGATAGCAGCTAAGACGCTGGTTAGGACAACTGGGCTTCATATTGGAGTGCGTGGGCTCAATCCCTGACTCCTAATTTCAGCTTTCCACTGATGCAAGCCCTGGGAGGCAGCAGCAGATGGCTCAAGTAGTTGGGTCCCTGCCACCCTTGTGAGAGACCCGGATGGAGTTCCTGGCTCTCAGCTTTGGCCTGGCCCAGCCCTGGTCATTACAGGCATTTGGAGAGGGATCTCACTGTATCTGTCTATTTCTCAAATAAATAAATGCGAAATGGAAAATTCCCTATACAAAGCACACTAACATAGAAAAACAACGATGGCAAAACCAAAACAAGTACTTTTCTTGGGAAAAAAAATCACCAATCCTTGCTTATTAATTTTGTTCCCTAACAGCTACCAAAAAGTAATAAAATGGGGAGAAATGAGAATCGCTGATAGGAAGCGTCCCACGTTAGCAGTCATCGAACAAACACAGAGCTGCTATGTACGTATGACCTCCTGTCCCTCTCAGGGTCCTTGCAATACAGTCCTGGCCTCCTCAACCCACAGCCCAGGGGGTCCCTCGTCAGCAGGCTGCCCCAAGCCAGGCAGGCACAGAGCTAGGCTCAGCCCCCGGTACCAGGCACTGCCTAGAACCCAAAGAAAGGTTTGCAGAGCTTTGGAAAGCAAGGGAAGACATCCACAACGACCTCTGACACACTGCTGCAGGCTTTTAAACCAAAAGGCACGGAGTTTAATTGAAAATCACTCCCCGAAGGAGAACAGAGGCGCCTTGCTGCTGGCTCAAGGCAGCCCAGCCTCTTGGAGTCCAGCCACGCAACAAGAAAGGACTGGCTTAGTGCAAGGCACCCAGGTTCGCAATAGCTTCTTCTCGGATCTGCAGCCCTGCTCATGGACTCCGGTGAAAAGTCAATGACCCAGCAAGGAATTCAATACTCACATAGCAATGAAAATGATACTGCTGCCAGTGTCAGAAGGTTCTCTATAGAGTGAATGGTTGTGCCTTGTCCCTACACCTAGGCAAAAACTTGGTGTTCCGGAATCAACGTAACCGTTAGAATTTGAGCTGAAGTATATTTATCCAAGATCACTGATGCACCTTGGAACTGCTCCCATGGGAGCACTTGCTATGGTCAATGACACGCCAGCCTTTCAGTATTTAGAGAGTGCTATCCCATTTCACAGATGAGAAAACTGAGGCACACGGTGGTTTCTCAAGGCCATCCAGGTAATAAAGGAAAGAGAGGGACCATGGTGGACACTGTGAGGAAGAGCTGCTCTAGGGTTGAAAGTACAGAGGCATTTAGAGTCCACAGCCTCTGGTCCTTTCTCCTTTTAGGCAGACAACGTCATTGCACAGTTTGTCCCCAGAGAGGCCATGGCAAGGGGAATGTGCCAGGTGGGGGCCCCCCATCTGGGCCCCCCATCAAAAAGGCCTGGGCAGCCCTCTGCTGTGGCCAGGGAGTGCAGTGGAGGATGGCCCAGGTGCTTGGGCCCTGCACCCCATGGGAGACCAGGAAAAGCACCCGGCTCCTGGCTCCTGGCTTCGGATCAGCGCGGTGCGCTGGCCGTGGCGGTCATTGGAGGGTGAACCAACGGCAAAGGAAGACCTTTCTCTCTGTGTCTCTCTCTCACTGTCCACTCTGCCCGTAAAAAAAAAAAAAAAAAAAAAGAAAGGCCTGGGAGCTGTGGCGGTGCCCGAGGCAGCAGTGGGACTGGCCCAGCTTCTGAACCTTTGCCGGGATTCAAAGGTGTTGCACCAGGCTCCTTGGTTACACAACGCGGTGCCCATGCTGTTCCCAGGCTGCTGGGCTAGCACTAGGGACAAGTCATGTGCATTCACGTCCCCGGTGGCCCAGCAGAGGGAACAGCAAGGGCTGGCTTCACACTGAGAACCCTGGCTTGTCCTCCACCCGATCACAGCAGGAAACCGAAACCAGCTGCTGAAGTCCCTATGAGGAAGAGAGCCAGCCCTGACTTCCCCCTACGCACACCTGTGCCTTCCCTAGCAGCTTATGAGATAAGTATCTCAGGGGTGAGTAAAACAGGCTCAGGGGAGCTGAGCAGTCACCGAGGTCACAGCCTGTGAGTGGCAGCAGGCGGTTCCCACTTCCCTACCATGGTGCCAGCCCAAGCCCATGACATCCTCCTGGGTTCAGGGGACACTGGACCTCACCAGCAGGAGCCCCCCCCCAAAGCAGGAAGTCACTGCCGTCTCCGTGAGACCTTCCAGAACCTTCTCTACGAGGCCATGGTCTGCCTGTGCATTTTCTACTCTCCCACAGCGCCTCTCCACCACGGCGCACCATCTGCTTATGGGGTGAGAGACAGGTAGGACAACATCAGAGACATGGGAGAATAAAGTCACATGCTTGAATGTTAGCTCCAGCCCCTTGGTGGCCAGGGGAATCGCTTTGACCTAGGTTTCGGTGACCTCACCATGCCCTCATTCGACCAGAATGCTCACACCTTCGTAAGCACCAATGCCTCAGTGACCTAGCATGGAGGATTAGCCCAGAGTCCTGTTGCCTCTCCTCCCTCTGAGAAGGTAAGTGCTGGCAATCAGTTCTGGTCCTCACCGTCTGCACCTGCTTTCCAGATGGTCATTGTTGATTATAAAAAGGACATACACCCTATTGTTGCTGCTTTGTGGTGGTTCCTAACCAAGAACTGCATACTGCTAGAGAGCTGACTAGGGGAGTGCGCCTAAACAGCGTGGAAGACATGAGCATGAAAACCCACCGTTCTCATCAAGGAATGAGATGTGTGACTGACGTGTCCAATTCTGTAAAGTCAAGACTGTCTTGAATGTAACAGAATGGTAAATGGACTTCCTTGCACATAGGCCTGTTTAAATATTGTCTGTGTACGTAGCTCCAGTAAGTGATTCACTAGTAGCCAAGTGAACAAAGCAATGTGTTAATTCAACTCACTTCTAGCCCACTGGCTAGACAGATGAATTTATAACACCAGCCATTAGCACCATGCCTATAGGGAGTCACCGTTTCCTGCTCGATGGTATAATGCAAAGGTATTTCATAAAATTCATGGAAACAGCCTTCCAAATTTATTTTGGTGTATAAAAACATTCAAAACCCATGCAGATGAAAGGACTTCTAAAAGGAAAATGATGGGTTGGTGCCATGGAGTAGCGGGTAAGGTTGACACCTGCAACGCCAGCATCCCATATGGCCGCCAGTTCATGTCCCGGCTGCTCCACTTCTGATCCAGCTCTCTGCTATGGCCTGGGACAGCAGTGGAAGATGGCCCAAGTCCTTGGGCCCCTGCACACACACATGGGAGACCCAGAAGAAGCTCCTGGTCCTGGCTTTGGATCAGCGCATCTCTGGCTATTGCAGCTATCTGGGGAGTGAACTAGCAGATGGAAGACCTCTCTCCTCTGCCTCTGCGTAACTCTCTGTCTTTCAAATTAATAAACAAATTTAAAAAAAAAAAAAGGAAAATGAACCCTGAGGAGGAAAAAACTATGCATGGATTTAAAACATTTTGCACCAAAACAAACATAGCTTTGAACTTCTTCCTGAAGTGCCCTCATCCGTCAACACCAAGAAGCCTTAGGATCCTGGTCTCAGAGGCACGACACGGGCGCACAGGCACTCCCCAGTTCCTGGGAAGGTGGGGACAGCCAATCCCAGGAAGCAGGTAGGGAACTGGCTCGTGGAGCAGGAAACTGGATAAGGGAAGTTTATTTCAGGGACGTGGGGACAGGAGCAGTGGTCAGACTTCAGGGAATACCCTTGCAAGCTGCAGAGCAGGCCGTCTCCCAGGAGGGAGGGCAGACGGTGAGGGCTTAGTACTTCTGCCCAAGGGAAGCAGGCAGTCGCCAACCTATAGAGGCATGTGGTGTGGAGCAGGAAGCCACGGGCTCACAGCGGACATGAACTTGTCTCCACTCAGACAAACTGAACCCCCGCAGATCACAAAACAGCTGTCTTCGTGCCGAGGTTTATTCTCAGGGTGCTGTGGGACAAAGGCAGGCCGAGCAGCGAGGTCTTGGTGGGATGGAAAAGGAATTGTCCCTGGGGGTCTATGAAGGATTGGGACCCGCCTCCCCAGAGGGGACCCAAACCTGCTCATATAAAACATGTAGTATTCGCACGTAACACATGCACAGCCTCTTGTGGACTTCCAGTCATTTCTAGATGACCTGCAGTGCCCAACACAATGTCACTGCTCTGTGATTGCTGCCATACTGAATTGTTTAGGGGATAACCGTCAGGAAAAAATAAAAACTGTACGTGTTCAGTGCAGATGCAACGTTTTCCCAAATATTTTCTCTCTGCGGTGGGCTGTTTCCATGGATACAGAACCTGCGGATATGGAGGACCAGCTGGGTTTTGGTGTCACTGGTGATAAGGCAGTAGCACAAGGCTGGGTGAGAGATGGCCGGGTTGTATTCAGGGCGCGGTGATGGTCAAGGGAAGCCTGCTCCTCCTTGCGAGGTAGGGGAGGCGGAACCCATGCCGGAGGAATAAGGAATAGAAAGGTGTAAATCTGCCGAGCACCATCTCAAAAGCCAAGAGCAAGAGGAAATGCTATGGGGGGCAGGTAGTGAGGAGTCCGGCGTGGACGCCAGAGATATGAGGACAGGGCATTCGCCAGGCTGGGGAGGTATCCCCGAGCCTCAGGCACTGAGCCAGAGGGTGGGGGTGTCTGATCCTCCCATGGGAGGTGGAGGAACCAGCGCCTGCCCAGTGGGCCACAGGGCACAGCCTGATCTGGGACAACTGGCTCGTCCTGACAAGGGCCATGGCTGGCTCATGGCTGTGTTCTTACCAAGCTAGCAAAATGCTTGCCATAAGAAGGGTGTTGTCTATGATTAGGAAGTCATTGAAAATGTCATTAAAATAAGAATGAGACTCATGAAGCAGAAACCCAGGGTAGTAGCTTGCAGAAAACTTAATTCCTTACCATTGTTACCAGTATGACAGAAAATTTGTGTGGAAGTAGCAATGGTCCCAAACCCGAAGTTCCTTGTTAAAGGGAAGATGGATGGTGACAAAAAGCAGCCAAAACATCCGTCAACCTCATAACACCCTCAGGGTTTGGCGAGAGTGATAACACTCATCTCAGGATTTGGCAAGAGTGTTATCACCAAGGGGACACCAGGACAAAGAGTCTTTGTCTGCGACAACAAACGCCTATGTGAAAGTCTTCATGGTCCAGCCCCCACCCGGCTGGGAGCCTCGGGCTGCTGTCCCTCAGGATAGAGGGCTCTGGGAATTCTAGCTGGAAGACCAGCGACTGGTTTGAGATTTTATAATCGCTGTCTTACAAGACTCTGATTTTTTTTTTTTCAAAAGTGTATGCTGATTGATTTACTTGCTCGGCAAAATGCAGTTATTGATGAATAAAGACCGAGTGATCGCATCTGATACCCAGTAGTCCACAAGAAGGGACAGAGAGAGGAGGCAGAAGCCAGGGAGACTGTAATTAACAAAGGTGTCTATACCTTGCTTTTGACTCTTTAGCCTGGATAGGGTTTTCAAGACGGGTCTAGAAGAAAAAGTCTTTCCCTTTGGACAAGATTTACAGGTGATTTTCTTCCAGTTGAGTCTGCAAACAGATTCCAAAGAATTATAGCAGCTCTGGAAGTCTAGATTTTTTTTCAGAGAGAAGGGCAGCAATTTGTCACTAACAAATGGTCAGTCATGGGGCTGGCGCTGTGGCACAGTGGGTTAAAGCCCTGGCCTGAAGCACTGGCATCCCATATGGGGGCCAGTTCTAGTCCCAGCTGCTCCACTTCCGATCCAGCTCTCTGCTATGGCCTGGGAAAGCAGGAGAAAATGGCCCGAGTCCTTGGGCCCCTGCACCCTCGTGGGGACCCGGAAAAAGCTCCTGGCTCCTGGCTTTGGATTGGCACAGCTCTGGCTGTTGCAGCCATCTGGGGAGTGAACCAGCGGATGGAAAACCTCTCTCTCTCTCTCTCTCTCTCTCTCTCTCTCCTCTCTCCCTGTAACTCTGTCTTTCAAATAAATAAAACAAATCTTTAAAAAAAATGGTCAGTCACTTCCAGGACTGGCCTCGCTAGAAGGAACGCATCTTGGGAGGTCATACATTTCGCGGTACTTTGATCCGCCAATACCGCACAGGCCAAGTCACTTCCACCTCACCCCTGGCCCCGTGGAGAACTCACCCAGGTCCACGGCGGGTGTGGGTCAGCGCCCATTGTGCACGCCTCGCCTCATTCCCCTGCTCTGGGCAAACCACTGTCCGGTCAGTGTGCTCTGACCACCTCACCCCAGCCCACCCCCTCCTCAAGGTTCAGGAGGGACTTGGCGAGCAGGTGTGACTACATCCATTGGGAAGATTTGGAAGGATACAGCCCTGCCTCCTGGGAGTGGTGCTGTGTGGTGAGTGGAGCTGGCAGAAGAAGGAAAACACAAAAGAACCAAAGACTTTGCCTTTCTGTTTAAAAATGTTAGTGCAGGGGCTGGCATCTAGCCTAGTGGTTAAGATGCTGGGTCCCGCACCAGAGTGCCTAGATTCCATTCCTGTTTGTGGCTCCTGACTCCAGCTTCCTGCTAATGCACAGCCTGGGAGGCAGTAGTGATGGCTCAAGTGCTTGGGTCCCTGTCACCCACCCAATAGAACACCCTGAATTGAGTTTCCAGCATCTGGCTTCTGCCCAGCTCAGCCCTGGCCATTGTTAGCATTTGAGGAGAGAACCAGTGGGCCGGAAGATGGGAATTCTCTGTCAGTCCCTGTCTCCTTGACAGAAGAAGGAGGAGGAGGAGGAAGAGGAGGAGGAGGAGGAGGAGGAGAAGGAAAAGAAGAAGAAACATGAAGTCTGCGTCTTACCCTCGCCCAGATTCCACCGCCATGATTTGATTTTGATTGCCTTTAAAGAGAAAGACGGTGACCCGCAGAGAGACCCCCCCTTTCCACTGCTGAAGCTGTTTTTCTAACCTTGAGTACTTCCCGCCGCTCAGAAGCCCCCGAGACAGAGCCCGCTTTACCACCCTTCCTTCCATTCGCCAAGTCCCCCGCCCCTGCTGGGACGCGCACCGGGACCCAAGGCCATGGGAACCTGCGTCCCAGAGCACGCCAAGGGCGTCTCGGTCCTTTCTGAAACCCTTCAATAATCTCCGGAGAAACGCGACCTCCCCTTAGATCTATACAGTCACAGCCACGGAATGTCTTTGGGGTTTTACCGACGAGAACTGGTTTGGATCGGTCCGGATATGAAAAATGGTATGCCGCCCTTTCCCCCTCGGGCTACCAGAGCAGAGGGAAGCCTGCGCCGGGATCGGGATCCGGATCGGCGGGTCTCGCGCCCCTCCCTGGGCAGCGCCACTGCGTTCAAACCGGGGGAGGGGGAGGCGCACCTTACAGACCTGGGTGGGCTCAGCAGAAAGCCGTCAGGGCCCAAGGCTGGCCCCGGCTCAGTAGGCTCCTAGGCTCCTGTCGCTACCCCCAGGAGCCCACAAAGCTCTATCTTTGCGCACCGTGCAGCGGTGGTCCAGGGTTCCTGCGACGAGGTCCTTGTTTGCACCTCGCAGCAGTGGCACGAGATGTGGCCACTCCCGCACTCAGCACTGTCACCTGCTCCGCGAACGCCCGCGCACCTCGGGCGCGCCACACCTGGCACCTTCGGCTGGCCGGAGGAGGGGAGGAGGCGCGGGGCTGGCGCTGGCCGGCGGGCTGGCGGGCGTGGAGCCAACGGGGCGACAGTGCGTGCGTGGGACCCGGGCCGCAGGGCACACGGGAACGGGGAGGGGGCGCAGGAAGTTCTCAGGGGCCAGGGAACATGGGGACGCCGGACGCAGGAAAACTCAGGAGTTGGGGACGGATACGCGGGGACGCAAGAGTGGCTCGACGGAGTACGGGAGCGCGGCACTTGCCTGAAGAGGACTCCGGCGTAGTCGCGGGCGACCTCCATGGCGCGGGACCTCCTTGCCGGCCAGGCGGGCAGTCTCTGCCTGTCCGCGCTTCCTCTTAAAGCGCCGCCGACGGCCCCGCCCCGGTCCGCCTGCCCGCCCTGTCCCGGCCTGACCGCCGCGGGGCCGGGACCTTGGCGAAGAGCTTTGCGCTTTGGGAGCCCAAGCGCCCACAGCCAAGAGACGCACGCGGGCCGACCTCATCAGACCTGTGCCGGAGGCAGGCAATTCCTGAGCACGTACTGGGAGGGACGGTCCCCCAGAACCTACCTTTCTTTTCTTGATTTATTTGAAATAAACACTTATTAATTTGAAAGAATTACACACAGAGAGAGGGAGAGGCAGAGAGAGCGAGAGTGAGAGAGGTCTTGCATCTGCTGGTTCACTCCCCAATTGGCTGCAACGGCTGGAGCTGAGCCGATCTGAAGCTAGGAGCCAGGAGCTTCTTCCGGGTCTCACACACGGGTGCAGGGACCCAAGGACTTGGGCCATCTTCTACTGCTTTTCTAGGCCAGAGAGCTGGATTGGAAGTGGAGCAGCCAGAACTCGAACTAGCACCCATGTGGGATGCCAGCACTGCAGGCGGCAGCTTTGCAGTGGCTTTTACTCCGCTAAGCCACAGCGCCGGCCCCTGGTATCGCCTCTTAAAAGTGTACACTTTCTGGGGTAGAGACCCTCGGCCTTCTGTGGAAACGTGAACTGCGCTTGCGGAGTTTGTAGCCTGGCAGGTCGCCTTGGTTTTAGCACGAGTGACCTTGATCACTCCCAGCGGGGCCCCTTCTGCCTCCTTCTTCCTCAATTTGGGAAGAAACAAGGGGTGTCCCCCTTCAGGGGTTCCCCAGTAAGCCTTGGAATGTTGAAACCAAAAGCTCTCACCTGGGGACCTTTTTCTGCCAGAGCTGGGGGACTGAATGGGAACTTAGAGTGATCATGTGTGCGTGTGTGCTGGCACCACATTCCATAAGAGCGCTGGTAAAGTCCCCACCGCTCCCCTTCCTAATCAGCTCCCTGCTAACGTGCCTGGGAAAGCAGCTGATGATATCCCAAGTACTTGGGCCCCTGCCACCCATGTGGGAGACCTGGATGGAGTTCTCAGCTTCTGGGTGCAGCTTGGTCCAGTCCTGACTGTTAGCACCATTTGGGGATTGAACCTGCAGACGGAAGATCTCTGTCTTCGTCTCTTCCTCTCTCTCTCTCTAACTCTGCCTTTCAAATGAGTAAATCTTTTACTTAAAAAGGAGAGAACTTTTCCTAACCTCTCCCTCCAATACCCCAATTTGTGAGATGAGAAAATGGGCTCCATCAACTCATCTCTGAATGGTTTATTGTGAGAAAGGTTGAATACAGAGACACAGAAAGGTGGGAGGAGCACTCCTATCCCAGCTCTGGACTCCGCTGCTGTTAACATTTGACACACTTGCTGGTTATTTAATACATGGTCCCCATGCCCCAGGGGCTCCACTTCCTCCACAAGCTCCCACAGGTTTCTCATCTCAAGCCTTCACATCAAATCCTTCAACTTGCACTTCTGACAAAACAGGGAAGCTCTCTTGGTGTGGGTGTTGTGGCACACCAGGTTTAGCCCCCACTTGTGACACTGGCATTCCATATCTGAGCACCGGATTGAGTCCTGGCTGCTCCACTTCTGATCTAGCTCCTTGCTAATGCGCCTAGGAAAGCAGCAGAGGATGCCCACATATTTGGGCTCCTGCCACCTGCATGGGTGACCCGGATGGAGTTCCAGGCTCCTGGCTTCAACCTGGACCAGTTTGGGCCATTTCAGCCGTTTGGAGAGTGAACTAGCAGATAGAAGTTTCTCTCTCTGTCCCTCTCTCCCTCTCTCTGTCTCTGTCATTCACACACACACACACACACACACACACACACACACACGGAAGCTCTCCTACACACCCATACACATTCCTCACCAAATACAAACGATTTCAGTCTAGATGAGCTCTCCAGCCATGCAGATTGTTGGTCTGGGGTCATGGGGGAGTCTCTCACACTAGTAACCAATCAAGCAATAATGCGTTGTTCACCTGTGAATTCCCAGGGCTCCCAGCACTGTCGGGCTCAGGAGGTGAGGACTTGTAGATGAATGAGGCCGACGTTCTCTTTTGTGCCTCATTTCTGTGCATCTTGTTGCATCTGCCACACTCATTCCACTTGTGTGACAATCTCACATGGATTTATCCTTGTCCAGCCCATGGCCGTCTTGGAAGAAGAAGGCGAGGCAGCGGGGAAATGTTCATGCACTGCTTTCTCTTGAACAGAGGGTAGGGGGTGACCACAGCAAGTCTGAAAGGAGCAAAGGCCTGGCAAGTTTCAGGAATGCAGGCCCGAGGGAGAAAGTCCACCCATCCCGAGCAGGCATTTGGCCCTCCTGGGGCCTATTTTTTAAAAAGATTTATTTATTTATTTGAAAGTCAGAGTTACAGAGAGAGAAGGAGAGGGAGAGGAAGAGAGAGAGGGAGGGAGGGAGAGAGAGGAAGAGAGACAGGTCTTCCACCCGCTGGTTCACTCCCAGTTGGCTGCAGTGGCCGGAGCTACACTGATCTGGAGCCAGGATCCAAGAGCTTCTTCTGGGTATCTCACGTGGGTGCAGAGGCCCAAGAACATGGACCATGTTCTATTGCTTTCCCAGGCCACAGCAGAGAGCTGGATTGGAAGTGGAGCAGCCGGGACTCGAACAGTTGCCCATATGGCATGCCGGCACTGGAGGCAACAGCCTTACCTGCTACACCACAGTGCCAGCCCCTCCTGGGGCATCTTTATTTCTAACCATCCTGGTTTGGATGCTGCTCTTTTTGAAACCAAGTTACATACTTACACTACCACGTCTTGGTTACGGGCTATATAACAGCAAAAATTTGGTGTGAATTTTCCCAAAACTGAGGAGCATTTAGGAGACTAAGATATCCTTTTTCATGTCTGGTCACTTAATGAGATCAGGTGCAGCAATCGGGAGAGAAATCCGGGATCTGAGTGACTGTGTTTGTAACCTGAGAGCCCTGGGCTGCAGGCTGGGCATTAGCTAAGTCACACTGCAGGTGCCAGGGCTGTTGAGCCTCCCAGCGTGCGGGGATTTGGCAGGAAGCTGGGCACTGTCTTTCCTTCCTTGGCAGTTCAATTGCACACCTCAGTTCCGCACAGAGAGCAGTCATTAGAAAGGAAAGGTGGCGGGTACGAGGGCAGGCGTGCACTGCCACTTGCTGGGAAGGGGAGAGACGCTGGACAAGTCTCCCAGTGTGTGTGAGGTTACCCGGGACTCATTAAGAAAAGAAGTTGAAAATGCACCTGCCCTCAGCAATGCCCTTCTGGAAGTGGGAGCCCTGGGGTTGCACATTGCTAAGCAAAATTGCAGGAGGCGAGGGCAGCCAGGCAATTGCTCAGGAGCCCTCCGTCTAGACGCGTGTTTTTCCAACTCGGTTAAAAGCAAAAGCATCTTTCAATTCTGGAGTGGACCTTAGTATGTTCACAGTTTCTGGCAGAGCCTGTATGAATCTCCATTGACCATGCCTGTGATATTTAATGGAGCTGCACTCTCTGCAGTGGTTTTTAAACTTTTGGGGTTCAAGATCCCTTAAGTATTTGATGGAGGCTGTAGCTCCCTTCCCCCTCCTCCCAAAGATGCTTGTAACCCCCCAACATTTTGCTAACACTCAGAGGTCCCCTGTGCCTGAGGCTGGGAAGCCTCAGCCGGGCAGCCTCCGAGAGCACCTTGTGCTGTTAACCTGGGGCGCGCCGGCCCCACTGCTGTCCCCACTCGCTTGTTGGTGGTTTGCTGTTGCTGGGCTTGGATGTTTATTTTCCTTCTAAATATAGGAACAAGGGTGATATTCTTTTCTGCTGACTTCAAGTTGATTCTTTTTTCTCCTCCAGAGAAAGTGCCCAAAGAAGCCTGTGTTTCTGGGGTTGAGCCCAGGCCTTTCCCAACTGGGCAGGAGGGCACAGCAGAGCTGCTTTATGCAATGCGCTGGGCTGGCAGCAACACCAACACAGCCATGGAAACCAGCCCTGGCCCTTCCATCAGGAGTGTCCTGATCTAGACAGGTTCTGAGAACACTGTGACTCTAAGTCATGCACAAACACCTTGTTACTATTCAACGTTAAGTTTAGTCATGGTAGATCAGGCATACTCTTTCTTGGGACCATGGTCGTCAATGCTGGCCCCCTACCAGGCCACCTCCTCAGCCCACTCTGAATGCCTTTTCCATGGTGTTTTTTTTTAAGATTTATTTTATCATTTATTTGAAAGTTAGAGATACACAGAGAGAGGAGAGGCAGAGAGAGAAGTCTTCCATCCACTGGCTCACTCCCCACTTGGCCACAATGGCCAGAGCTACACTGATCTGAAGCTAGGAGCCAGGAGCCAGGCGCTTCTTCTGGGTCTCCCATGTGGGCGCAGGGATCCAAGGACTTGGGCCATCTTCCACTGCTATCCCAGGCCATGGCAGAGAGCTGGATCGGAAGTGGAGCAGCGAGACTTGAACCGGCGCCCATATGGGATGCTGCACTACAGGCAGCAGCTTTCCCAGCTACGCCACAGCACCGGCCCCTCCATCCAGTGTTCTACAGACATTGAATGTGCTGTTTTCCATCCAGTGTTCTACAGACATTGAATGTGCTGTTTTGTGTAGCTTGTTTACATAAGTGGTGTTCAATTGTCCGTCATGGTCTGCAACATGCATTTTCATATCACGTGCATTGCTCTTCCTATCTCAGTACACACCGATCTACCTCTGTCTTTTTGATGGCTACAGAGTATCTCAGCACATACATCACACTGCAGTTACCTTCCCCCTTCTTGTTGAACACAGTGCTCTTTCCGATTGTTCATTAGTAAGCACAGTACTTTGCTGAGCAATCTTGTAAATGCATCCTGTCTACATGGGTGTGTTCCTGGAGCATAATTATTGCATTTTGGAGTACATATAGCTAGCCTCTGTATATGTGGGTTCTGCTTTGGTTTCAACCATGAATCAAAAATATTCAAGGGCCTGGCATCGTGGTGTAGCAGGTTAAGAGGCTGTTTTGATTCCAGCATACCATTTGGAGTGCCAATTTGAGTCCCAGCTGCTCCACTTCCAATGCAGCTCTTGCTAATGTACCTGGGAAGGCAGTGG